TCCTCCTGGCCCAAGAGGCTGTGATACATTGCTGGGCTCCTGCCTGATTCAAGAACCATCAGAGACCCAGGTATCATCTCCAGCTCCTGTTTCCTCCCAGCTACAGCCACGCCTTAGCTACCAACAGATTCTCCAAAAATTCCAGTCTCTAGGCACACAACCAGTGCCACTCAGTAGTACTAGTCCCTCAGCCTATCAGCTCCCCCTTCAATGCACACAGTAGCTATTCCAAACTTTCACCCCCTCAAGCCTTCAATGCCACCTCCTACCCATCTTAGCAGATGGTCTTGCCTCCCACTACAGAGAAAAAATAGAGGCTATCAGGCTGGTACACACTCTGCTGCCCACTTTCCCTCCCCTCTCAGTGGCCCCACACACTCATTTGCACTCATCCTTACTGCCTTCTTCTCCTGTCCAAGCAAAGACCCACCAAAGGCCAATATTTCTTTGTGTTCCTGGTGCCCATTCTCTTGAATCTCCTCCTGGACCTGACTTCTCAATTGCTTCTTTCTGCCAAGTCTCCAGAGTCTCTTCCCTGTCAGCTAACGGTGATGTGTGTCTCAGGAGCACTAAAGCCCACACTCTGTGCTAACTCTCCCCAACCTCGCATGGCACAACACTGGACAAGAGGATTTTACACCAAGCCCCCACTTCCTCAGGTCTCAATTCTCCCTCACCCCTCACACCTCTGCAGCTGCTCTCCCTAACAATTCTAAAATACTCCCAATCCAAAATACCCTTTTCAGTCAGTGTTTTCCTAGTTTGATGCCCCTACTTGATAATGCTGAGTGATTCTGGAAATCTTATCTTCCAAAATGACTGCAACAAATGCCCATTCCAATATGCTTCTGGAACCTATGTATTTATCACTCTTTGCGTCACTGTAACAAATTGCCTGACTCTAAAAGGAGAAAGTATGCATTTTGGACACAGTTCCAGGTGTCAGTCCATAGCCATTGTTTCCATTCTGGGAAGAACATCACGGCAGTGGAGAGAAAGGCTGTCTGCCTCATGGCAGACAGGAAGCAGAGGACAGAGAAGACACTAGGGACTAGGTCTAACCTTCAAAGGCATGCCTCTAGTGACCTACTTTCTCCAACTAGGCCCTAGCTCTTAAGTTGTATGCAACCTCCTAAAATAGTGCCACCAGCTAAGGATCAAGCATTTAATACATGGGCCTGTAGGGGACATTTCCTATCCAAACAGAAAGCTTCTTGTTACTCATCTGCTAAGCAGTGTAGTCTATTTCCCAGCCCCTGAACCAATGGAGTAAGGAAGTGCAGTGCCACAGGCCAGGCCATGAAACCGTGACACACTTCCAATCTTGTTCTCTGGGGACACTGGCTCTTAGAGCCCAGCCACCATGCCATGAGGAAGCCCAAACAGCCACACAGAGGCCTGCACAGAGAGGACATAAGGCCCAAGTCCCAACAGAGCTCCTAGACCACGGCAGTCCCAACCTACTAGCCCTGAGTGAGCCACCTGGGACATGAGCCCTCTACCCACCTCAGCAAGAGCTATATAAAATACATCACTGACTCTGAAGACCTGACCTAAGTGCCGATGCACTGGCAGAACTCATTACTGTTTTAAGCTACAGTTGTTTAAGTTTCACGGGAGTTGGCTATGCAGCATTTAATAACTGACATGTATGCTGGACGTGGTGGCATGGGCCTTTAGTCCCAGCCCTCGGGAGGCAGAGGCAGGTGGATCTCTGTGAGATCAAGGCCACCCTGGTTCACATTGTGACTTCCAGGCAGGCTATGACTAGGGAGACCCTGTTAAAAAACAAAAAAAACAAAGACACACAAACACACACACACACACACACACACACACACACACACACACACACAAGAAAAAACAACAACAACACTCTCTTTTTGACAGTTTACTACCTTCATCAACAGCAGCTTTGCTCAATCTTGGCCCCCAATCTCCTTGGCCAGGTCCCTTCAGTCCCCTGAGCAGCTTAGCCTTGGGGGGCTCAGTGTGGTGGTGCCCCTCACAGTTCTTTCTTGGCTACCCTCCTCCCACCTTATTTTTTAATATATATTATTTTTCTTTATAATATTTGAATGTACTTGTTTTTATTTTATGAGTTTTTTGTCTGCATGTATATAAGTGCACCACAAGCATGCGATGCCCACAGAGGTCAGAAGAGGGTATATGGTCAGTTCTGGAATTCTGAACAGTTGTTGGCTACCACATGAGAGCAAGGAATCAAAGCCAGGTCCTCTGCAAAGCAGTCAGTGCTCTTAACCACTGAATCTGTCTAGTCACTAATATACCTAAGTGCTACCATTTTAGTCTGAACTGTCCCTCATGGGCCTATGCTTTGAGTGCTTGTTTCCCAGTTTCAGGAGCTATTTTGAAGACTTTAGGAGGTAAGACCTGACTGGTGGGAGCCAGTCACAAGGGGTGGACCTTTGAAGGCTATCCCTGTTTCTGGTTCTGGTCTGCTCTCCCTGCTTCCTGTCAGCTACCATGTGAGGAGTCTCTGCTACATGTTCCCACACCACGGTCACTTCTGCCACCTGCTTCCCTGTTGGGATTGATTGAAATTCCTCTGAAACCAAGAGCCTGAACAAACCTTCCTCCCTTACATTACTTCTGCCAGGCATTTTGTCACAGTGATGAGAAAATTAACTAATCCACTACATGACTTCAAACTGCTCCCTTAGATTCAGTTACCACAAGTATCCTTGTTCATAGCTGAATCTGTAGGCCAACCAAACTTCGGGCCAACAGGGATATCCCTACAGAAACTGCTAACAACAGAGTCTCAGCCTCCTGCTCCCACCAGCCACCTTACTGCTCTTTCACTTTGTTCTGAGACCCAGTCCTGACCCTGATAATAAAGTATCTCCCAGGCTCCCATTACAACCTGCTCACAGCTAGGTTTGACCAATGGGAAATACTTGTAGAATACTGGGGAGCCCAAGTAGAGAAAAACCTGCCTCAAAAGCATACCTGTGGGGCCTACAAGATGATTCAATGGGTAAAGGTGCTTACTGCCAAGGCTAATGACCTGAGTTTAATCCCTGAGACCCATATGGTGAAAGAACATGACTCCTGCAAGTTGTCCTCTGACTTCTACATACACACACACACACACACGCAAGCATGCAAGCTGGGATGAATGGATGGATGGATGGATGGATGCATAGATGGATGGACATACAGACAGACAGATACCATTTTTTAAAGCACATCTGTGGCACCAACTGCCAGGTTTCTGACTGTGATGCAGGTCCACTGGGCAAGCCCACAACAGTCCCAGGTCCTACCAGAGGCCCCCAGCTCTGGAGCTCCAGCACACTACCTTTTCTCTCTGCCTCTCCACAGCACAGCAAAGGGAATGAAGCAAACTGCAGTGGCTCTCCTGCAGCTGGTGATCTTTCTCACCATCCCATTGGGGTCCTTGGTAATCCCATCCCTCTTCATTCCACCCCACATTCTGTTTGAAATTCCCTCTTCCAAATACCTAGAGCACTTTTTCTTTTTCTTTTTCCTAAACTTGACCCTGGCCAAGGCAACAAAAGTCACTATTTAAACCAGAAACCGAAAGTACACTTCAGCCTCATCCTCACTCAGACCAGGCCTTGCCCCTCCCCATGAAAAGCTGATCACAAAGTCTAGATCATTCCCCCACTGAGCCCAGCTCTCTCCTCCACTCCTATGACACTGTATTGCTTCATACATTATTTCTCTCTCACACCAATACAGCAGCGGCCCCTCAATTAGCCTCATGGCTATAGTCTTTTGGCTTTCCAATACATTCTCCCGACTGCCAACACACTTTTATTTCCAGTGCACATCTGATCATGACAGTTCCCTGATTAAAATTCTTAAATGGGGGGGAAAAATCAGATCTTGTCAGTCCCACAAATATGTCAGTGTTGACTATGGCTACTGTTCCACACCTTAGCCCGGGATAAAGGCCCTCCCTTGTCCTGCCAATCCTCCCAGCCTCATCCCTTCCAGCTCCTACCATCTGAGCCAGTAGAAAATCTTCAAGCCTCTGCTCCTCTAAGCCTTGAGGTCTTCCCAGCAGTCTTCCCCACAAGACTTCCCAGCAGTCTTGTGGGTCCTTTGAATCCACAAGAATGTCACCCCTCCAGGGAGGCCCTTTTGTCAACCCCATGCACAGTGCAAGCATCCTTTGAGAGTTGTCTGTTTACACACCTGTCTCCTCCTCCTAATGGGGAGGATGGAGATGGAGCTGACTCACTCACATGTCCTCAGCAACCATGCAATACACAGTACAGAAGAGACCTCAATCATGTGCAGTTTAAAGTGAGTTGAAAGAATAAACAGTCCAGATTAAGAAGGAAGGGAGGAGGAAATGGGAAGGAGACAGACATGCCAGCAGGGGAACAGACTGCTGACCTCCCTGTAAGGGTGCTGGCTTTTGCTCCAAGAGTGGCAGCTCAACCCCTCTCTCCCTTTGTCTGCACACAGTTAGAAAACTCCAGGAGCACACTAAGCCCTCTACAGCTTTTCCCAAAGCCATTTTCAAAGAAGCTAAGTTTGTTCATTCAAAACCAACGTCATATAAGCAAACATGTAATCTGTATAAACATTTCTATGTGATCTGCATGCCACTTTTCTATCGCTTCTCTGATCACACACCCACTTATGCTGTAATGTAACACATGATCAAATGCTTTCTAGCCCGGGAGACCACCTTTGGCTCCTCTCACTTCTACTGCATCTCCCAGGAGCTCTCCTTGCTCATCAGTTGCTCAATGTGCTCTGAGACCACTCCAGAGGGCTTCCAGGAAAATCAAGAATTAACCAGCCCTGCCAGGTTGTAGTTCCCAAATTCTCATGACACAGCCCTCTTTGGTCATGTCTCAGCTCTCCTCTCCCACTCTGCTCTTCAAAGGGCCACAGTCCACCCTCCAGCCTGAGCAAGTATCCCTGAGGTTTTGTGGCTCCAAGGGAAAAACAGACTAAGGACAAAGAAAGGAGAAAATGGGGTAAGGAGCACCCACCTCCATCAGGAGAATGTCCTTCAAGCTTTGAGCCTGTACCTTCGGGTGCTGGACCTTCACAGCCACAGTTCGACCATCCCGAAGCACAGCCTTATGGACCTGGGCCAGGGATGCTGCCCCCAGAGGGGTGTCATCAAAACTCAGGAACAAATCATGGATCTGTCAGGAGTAGAAAGAGAACAGAGTAACTGAGAAGATGGTGGCCTACTTCAGCAAGACGCTGTCAAGAAGATGAGCTAGAGCTGTTCAGTGTCCTACAGCAGATTTGCTGTTTCTGCAGTTTATGGGTTCTGACTGACCCCTTTGCTATGGTGCAGATTCACACCAGGCACATGGAGGGGGCAGGACAGAAGATACATGCGGAGGGCATATCTGCACATGTGCACAGGGGTCTTCACGGACTTCATTTCTCCTCCTCCTACCATCTAGTTCTTCTTGTTCCCCCAACAACACACTTGCCTTTCTCCTCCTTCATGAGAGCAAGATTCTCTTGTGCTATCTACTCACTTTCTCTGGGTCTCTCAGCATAAGAACCTTCATCATGGACCTGGGCTTGGGATGGGAAAACACCAGGACCACCTTCCCCATAAACCCATGAGAACATCAGTACCAAATGAGCTACGGGTTTTGCCTACCCTGGTACTGCTGAACTCCCGGCACCTTATACAGAGCTGGAAGCAGGCAGGGTCAAGTAAATATTTGTAGAATGGCTAAATCCACTATATTCACCATTGGAGAACTAAATCAACCTATTCTTCCTTTGAAACAGCTGGACCTTCCTGCCCCACACTCCTCCTCATACAAACATTTCAATGGGTAGTTGCCCAGACTAGTGAAAGAACAAATCATGTATGAGGTTTATCTAGGCAGATCCCACCTATTCCTCCAGGTAAGACCCTAGCCTGGCCTATGAACCCTGAGCAGCCCAGCCACTCTGATTCCCTCAGAAATGGACAAGGGGCCCAACCAGTCCAATCAAACTACATTTTTCTGCATTTCTTCACACTGCCCAACTAGTCCAACCAAACTACATTTTTCTGCATTTGTTTAAGCTGTGGAAGAAGAAATTCTTTCTAAACCTGAGCAGAAAAAATGTACCTCTGCTCATGCCAAGGGTCACAAAATAGCAGCAAGGAAGCAGAGCCAAGAAACAGAGAGAAGAAACCCTGGGTATAATTTCAGGCCCTTGATTGAGCCACGCCCAAGTAGCTACCCTATAATTTCTTTTCTGCTTGTTTGTTTGCTTAAGTCAATTTGAGTAAAGTTTTGTCAGACACAGCTGAAGGGCTCTGACTGATAGAGTATGTTCTCAGGTACCAGTGGGATGCATAACAGAGAGACACAGGTCCAGGACCCAGGGCCCCTAAGAGACTCAATAAGTGTGGGTTTCAGCCCCTCCATACCCTCTTAGTGGGACAAGGACTCAGGGATAGAAGGAAAACAGAGCTTCAGCAGTGTACCCAGCCACTGCATAACAAGCTCCACATGGGTCTTATGGAAACTCATAGTTCCTGGAATATCACCAAGGAGAGCATTTCTTGACAGAGAGTTGAACCTGGCCCTTACCCCCCAGGTGGCTAAAATGGCTCAATCTTCCTACAGCCTCACTCCTTAACCCTAACCTCTGCTGGCCCAGGGAATATCAGCTCATTTTCTTAGGACAACCAGTCTCCAAACCTGTGTCACTGCAGGGACATTGCAGAGTCACTGCAACCAAAGAGTGACATGGCATCTCTAGGGCTATGTGACAGGAGCAGCTGCCAAGAGCACCCCACAGGGAAGGAAAGGGCTGAGGCAAGCAGATCCTAATCTCCAAGAGAAGAAGCCTGGCTAGCTAACTCCCCCAGGGACCAGAAGGGGGCTTCCCACAAATTTCTGCCCACATCAAGGGATGGAGGAGGCCCCAAGATACCACTAAACCTGGCTGCTAACTCAGCACCTGAGCCAGCTGCAGCAGTAATCAAATTCTCAATTTTACCAGCAGAAGCAAAGAAGGCCAGGAAAGGACAGAGGTCACCTGTCAGGCAGACCCCTGTCGCACCCCAAGCTCCAGCATCCCTGTAGCCATCTTCTCTTCTCTAGCTGGAAGTAACTCCCACCCCCTGCCATGCTCTCGCAAATACACAAACACACATACACATACACAATAATTGATCGCTAGTGGATGCTCCTAGCTGGCTTATAAAAAAGGTAATTAAAGATCGGTGCTGCAGCCTATAATTAAATATGAATAAAGTATCTCTAAATGGATCCTTAATTCAAAGTGTTCAGTGAAAGTACTTTATGCTGATAGATAGTAAGGAAAAATAGACCCTGTCCCGAAAGCAGAATTATACCCCTTGTGCAGCTGAAACAAATGCTGCCCCTCCAGTCGCCAAGGACCTGCCTTGTCCCCAAGCCCTCTCAGCAGAAAACCATTAGCAGAAACAAACTGCAGCACTTGCGGCAATTAGATTCAAGCAGGGCCTTCGGCTGCCTCCAATCACTCGTGGAAACTTGTCTCCCCTTCTAAGGCTTGCTTCCTTGTTCTCTCTCTCTCTCTCTCTCTCTCTCTCTCTCTCTCTCTCTCTCTCGGGTCTAGTGGCAAAATCAATTAAGTAAAACAACTGCATTTTTTAAGTTTATTTTATTTTTTAATTTTTTTTAAATTTAATAACCACATGATTAGAAGAAGCATTTCCTTACAGCTTTAACATATTCAGAAACACATTCCAGAGCAAGGATACATCTCTTTCAAAGGTGGCTATAAATTTTTAGGTTCACAGTTGAATTAATACAGTCACACAATATTGAACTCAGTATAAACCCTGTAAGACATAAAATTGAATGAGTTTTTACCCTTTAAAGAAGATCTCCATTTCATTTTAAGATATGCTGTTTCCTACATTTTTAATGCTACTAACACGTGTTTGTACTTGTGTCTTTAATCTCTATGTATCTGATTGTTACTAGTCACAGTTGGTTAAATGACTAGTTGTGTGCTTTTTAATTACTGTTAGTCTGAGATTTAAATATACTAATGTGGTCATCTAGAAAAGGAAACAATTATCAAGGAAAAAGTTTCTCCAGCTCTGTGAAGACAGAGGGAAGGAGAGAGGGAGAGGGAGAGGGGGAGGGGGAATGTGGGAGGAGAGAGAGAGAGAGAGAGAGAGAGAGAGAGAGAGAGAGAGAGAGAGAGAGAGAGAGAGCGAGCCCAAGACCTGGCCACTTAGCTGTCTGACCTTAGGATCCCAGATCTGGAGACCAAGTGACACTGTACCTGAGTACAGAGATTTTTAACTAAATCAGCCCTCAGGTTCCCAGAAAGCTGGGTGACTGAGCAGCTTTCCCAAAATGCTACATGGAGTAGCTAAGCACTGACTAGGATGACAGGAGTCAGGGTGCCCTGGAGAAGCTGGGGAGTTCTGCTCTGAGTCAGTGAGTATGGTAGCCAGTCCTGTCTCCTGTAGCTCTGGCCAGCCTGAGGCCCTGCAGGGCTTCTTACTGGTTCATAGTCACAGGTTGAGGTGGGATGGGGGTGGACTTTCCAGTAAAATCCAGTATCAAATATCCCATCTCATGATCCCCAAACTCATTCACATCAGATCAAGTTTAGTTTCATAAATTTCACCATCATGGACATAATGCATCTCCCAATATCCAAACAGCCTCACTCTGGGTGAAGACCGGAGCCTGTCTCAGTGCAGGCAAGCATAGGCTTAGATGCTAAGGCCTGAAAGCTCTCGTTAAAGAGCAAGAGATGTCCAGGGCACCTGATGCAGACTCTGTGATACAGCTGGAGGTGGGAGAGGGAGGCCGGTGACCATGGAATCAGCAACCAACATCTGGTTCTCTCCTAGAGCTGGCCCACCCCACACCTGGCTAAGCGCCAGCTGCCATTCATTGAAGCCTGATGGGGAAAGAAAGTCTCAGTCTATGCCAATGGAGTGGCTAGAGTAAACCTCGGCCTAAGGCAGTCAGGACTGCCACAGTCAGCCAGGACTCTGAAAAATGCCCTGAACAGAACACCAACACCACCAAGACCCCAGCCACCTTTCACCACCTCTACCTTGAGCCCGTCCTCTCACCACCTCTACCTTGAGCCCATCCCCTCTTCTGCTCCTCTGAGCACCATGGCCCAGGGACCTGCCTCAGGCACCCCACACCTCACAGTCACCCTACCAGCTGATAGGGTTTTACTATAATTCCTGCCCCTTCAGAACATGTCAGGTTTGTAGCACCCCTTTCAAGGTCATCCCTATGCTTTCTAAGGTCACATTTGACAGTGATGGTAAATGGGTGGCATAGGCACTCTCATCCCCCTGTAGTGGTTCTAAAATATGCTCAGAGGTTTGGGGAGAAGGGGGAGTTGTATTTGTTTGTTTGTGTTTGTTTGTTTGTTTGTTTGTTTGTTTTGAGACAGGGTCTCCCTGTAGCCCAGCTAACCTGAAACTCACTATGTGAACCAGACTAGCCTTGATCTCAGAGATTTGCCTGCCTCTGCCTCCCCAGTTATGGGACTAAAGATGTGCGCCACCACACCAGACTTACTCAGAGTTTTTAAATGTTCCTCCATTTGAGGAGTCTATTACTTTTCTCTTAAGTGCAAACTGGAATTAATGATCCACCCCTAAGTTACAGAACTTTGATCTCTCTCTTCCCTTCCTTCCCTTCTCCTTCTTCCCTCTCCTCTCCCCATCTCCCCTGTCCTCTGGGAGTTATTTTTAAGATGACGGGGGGACAAGGGTCCTCCCATTACACCATTCAGTGCCTGTGGTAAGGATCTGGGAAGCCTGCCCACTGGGAGTCCCTGGACACAGACAGACCCTCCAGCCCCTGACACACTCCTCAGATGATTGCAGCCTCATGAGAGAACGTGGGCATGATGGTTAATGTTAGATGCCAGCATGACTGGATTAAGGATCGCAAAGAGACCTGATTCCTCTGGCTGCATCTGAGAGGAGGGTAACCTAAGGAGAATGAGAGGAAGATCTGCTCTTGGGTAGAGGTAGGTACCATCCACATGCCTAAGAGTTCAAACAGAAAGGGATTTTCCTTCTGCCTTCTGGAACTGAGACCATGTCCTCCCCAGGCCCTGTATATCAGAACCACAGAGACTTCAGGACTTTCTCCAGCAGCCTCCCCAACATCCCACCCTGGGTTATCAGGCCTTTGCCCCT